GTATCCCAGGAATTTTCCCGAGCCGACACCGAAAGTACACTTCTTGGGGTTTAACTTCATGTTGTAATCACGCAAAATAGAAAACATTTTATTGAGATCGTTTACATGGTCAGACGCATACACCGATTTGACTAACATGTCATCTACGTACACTTCCATACTAACACCTATCAAACTAGCAAACATCTTGTTGACTAAGCGCTGGTACGTGGCCCCGGCATTCTTCAGCCCGAACGGCATCATGGTGTAGCAGTAGAGTCCGCGTGCCGAATAGAAAGAGGTGTGCTCGGCGTCATCCGGATGCATCGGGATCTGGTTGTAGTCGGAATATGCGTCCATGAAGCTCATCAGTTCATGCCCTGAGGTGGCGTCCACCATATAATCAATGTGGGGCAAGGGGTAGCTGTCTTTGGGGCACGCCTTGTTGAGGTCGGAGAAGTCGATGCAAAGACGCCATGCCCCACTGGCCTTTTTAACCAGTACCGGGTTGGCAACCCAGGTTGGGTACCGGACTTCCCGAATATAGTCATTATCCTTGAGCTTGATTACTTCTTCTTCGAGAGCTTGCTGCCGGTCTGGCCCCAGCTTCCTCCTATTTTGAACGACCGGCCTGACTGAGGGTCGACCTGCAACCTATGACAGGCAACCTTCGGGTCAATGCCGACCATGTCTTCGTGGGTCCACACGAATACGTCTGCGTTCTCTCGAAGGAAACTGGCTAGCTCGGCCTTCATCAGCGCCGGCAGTTTACTGCCGATCCGAAGTTGCTTCTGGCAGGTCTCCTCATCGATGAAGATGATTTCGACCTCGTCCATGGGCTCGACCCGTTTTGTGCCCCTCTTTTCCTCGTATTGGGTTCGCGGGTCGAGCTCGTCCTCTTCCGACATCGGTTCATTTCCTGCTCTTCGACCCCTATCCTGGTCCAGGTCGGGCTCGCCCCCTTTTTCCTGCTCGGCGTTCGTCCCGGCCTGGGGAAGCGGACCTATCTGGATTTCCAGCATGTGGTCGTCTCCCGGGCCGGGGTGAACCACCTCGGCATCTGGGTCCATATGACCCCCCTCGACATCTGTTTCTCCTTCCACCTCGGTGTTTTCAACAACCTGTCCGGCACTTGGCATGATCAGGGGCGAACCTGTCTGGTTTCCCAGCATGCGGTTGCCCTCTTCCTCTTCGCGGGACGTGGTTATATTCGTCCCAGCTTCAGGGGCGGAGTTTGCCGTATTGATTTCCGCTCGAGGGATAGTCAAGACGCATTCCCGCGCTTCTCTCTGGTCCCCCGATGAGTCCCTTCCCCGTCTGAGGTCGGGAACTTGATGGAGTAATGGAAAATTGAGACGGCTCCCCTCAGCTTGTAGAGAGCCGTCCTGCCCAGGATGGCGTTGTATTCGCTCGGGCAGTCCACTATCTTGAAAGTTTCCAGAATTGTTCGCGTGGGCTGCCCCTTCTCCCCGAACTTGATCGGCAGCGTTACCTGACCGACGGGGGTTGTCATTTGGCCGTTGAACCCCTGGATCCGCTCCCGGCAGGGTTGCACTTCCTTCCTGTCAATCCCCATTTTCTTGAACGTGCTGTAGTACAGGATGCTCGCATAGGCCCCGGTGTCGACCATTATTCGATGGATCTTGATCGCCATTATTGGGGCCGTGATCACCAGGGCGTCCGAGTGGGGATGGTCGAACAGAAATGCATCCTCATCAGTGAAGGATATTTTGTTGGGCGTCGGCTCAGCTGCCGGTCTGCTTCCAGCGTGCATCACTCTTTGCCCGACATAATAAGCCTGTCGGGCGTAGGCCTTTGTCTGCCTCCTCGAAATGAGGGATTCACCCCGGCTCGTGTTCACGCGCCGGGGTGAGAAATCAGCCAGGTCGGTATCCGACCGCGGGGATCGATCTCTTTTTCTTTCTGCGGAGGTGCCGGGCTCACCTTGATTGGCCGGATTGAACATTAGGATCTCATTAGGCGCGCCCTGCTGTGGTTTTTTCCTCCGGGGGTTCATGTCAGTATCTTCGTCGCTGTCGAGGCCGTCCCCGAAGCGGCTTCCCTTCTTTCTCTTCTCACCAGAGTGAGTGAACTTCTTGACTTGAGGGTCGTCAATCAGCTTGAGCAGCGCCGCGATCAAGTTACGGCACTGGTCTGTGTTGTGTCCATGTGCCTTGTGGTAGGCACAATATCGGGACTTGTCCACCTTGTCTTTGTCGGTGAACATGGGTTTCGGGTCCGGCAATAAGCCCTTCGCTTTGATCTCCTCGTAGACCGCGGCAGCTACAATGGAGAAAACGCCCTGGAAGCTTTCTTTGAGCTCCTCTGCTCTCTGTCTCCTCATGGCCCGCACCTCGGCGAATGTCTTGCCGGGCTTCCCTGATTTGTCTTTATTCTTGTCCTTGCTTGTCGCGGCGTCCAGCACCGGGATGGACGAGGATTCCTCAGCCATGATGTAATTTTGGGCTTTGACGAGGAATTCTTGGTAGGTGGCTGGCTTGTTCTGGCACAAGGACCATTTAAACAGAGTTTTCGGCCTTAGCCCGGCCTGCACGGAGACGAGCAGGGTCTCGGGATGACACTGTTCCATATTTTGAACTCGGTCATTAAACCGGGTGATATAGTCCTTCAGGCTCTCGTCCTCGCCTTGGACAATGTTGGCGATTGATTCCTTGGGGGCCAGGCTGATCTGTGATCCGATGAAGTGCGATCGGAATGCCGACCTGAGCTGGCCCCAAGTGCAGATAGAGTGTGGATACATAGAATGGTACCATCTCTGCGCCTTCGGTCCAAGGGTCAGGGAAAACATGCGACAGCGTAAGGCGTCTGTCGCGCCGTGCAGGTCCATCCATGAGGTGTAAAGGCCGATGTGGGAGTCAGGATCCGAGTTTCCATCATAATGTCCAAGCTGCGGCACCTTGATTTTCTGGGGCACGGGCTCGCGCAGGATGTCGGGAGAGAGGGGGGAGGCGTGGTCCACGACCCGAGGAATGGGTTGCGAGTAGTGGGGAGGCGATGTACCCCTTAGGGAAGAGCGCTGACCTTCCAGTTCGGCGATTCTGCGCTTGAGGGCCGCAACTTCGTCCGCGTCGCGCCCAATGTTTTTGCCTCGCTCAATCACGTCCCTGAGGTCGCGGTTGGCCTGGGTTTTGTGACCCAAGCACTGATACACGGAGCGACGTATGACCTGGAGGCTCCGGTCTGGCTGGCTTTCGCCAGTCTGTTCAGTGGGCGCCGGCCTGGCGTTTTTCTCGCGCCGGGCTTGGGCAGTGCGATTGGGTGATTGAGCTGTCGTCTTGGATTTGGCGGGTTTTTTCTGCTGCCCCCCGACCTCCTTGTCAGGGGTCTGGAGCAGGGTGTTGATGGGATTTTTCGTGGCTGCCACGGTGTTCCCCCCGGGTGCCTGGCTTGCGAGGGCCTTGGCGAAGACTCCTTCCAGGGATTTGAGAACGTCTGGATGCTGCATGGCGGCAGCAAAAGTCGGAACAGGAGGGACATGGGCTTGAGTCCCTTGCTGGTTGCGGCGAGAAGTTTCCTCGCTGTTGTGCCGGCGAGGCTGAGCGCCGGACTGCTGGGTTGACTCGTCGTGATTGGATGAAGTCATCTTGTACGAGACTCGAGGTAAGCGAGGGTGAGTGAATATGGGGCTTCACAAGATCGAACAATTGACACCAAGTAACTTATGGTGCCCTCCTTCTAGCGCCAAACTGTTGACGAGCGTTTTCGGTCAACGGTTAAAATAAAGAATGTCGAGAGCCAAAGACTGAAAATGGGAGGATGGTTCGGTTTAATTATGACTTTATTAAACGATCACGAGGTCGGCCTCTCGTACGAGGTCGGCACTTGCGATATACTTACAATCCTTACAACGAGTTTCTTACAGTTTTTAGAGAGAGAAAGTAGAGAGAAGGCAGAGTTAGTTGGATTTCAACAACCCAAAATAAATGAAATGAGCTGCTATTTATAGTAGTCTTTAATGTGGCACTATTCAGCTACTGTTCACCGGTCTTGTCGCACAGTGATTTTGAAAAGCAGTCCGACGTCCGTCTGACATGCATTTAATGCGATTTGAGGTTTCTTCAATCATTACCTGTCAGACATTAAATACCAGCATGGAGGACATTTAATGCTGGTAGGCTTTATTGATTAGGCTTGCTAGTAGGGTGCTAGGCCATGATTACTTGTCCCATCGCCCAATGATGGCCTCCCAAGTGGGAATAGTTTAATGCTCATCGAAGCCCGCACTTTCCCTCTGGTCGGCCTCCTCAGATTTTCAGGTCGGCACCTCATTCGTAAATGTTCACGAGACTGCGAATAGTCTTCTTTCTGTCCGGCACCCCTCCAGGTCGGCCCCTGTCCGGGCTGATACAGGCGCCGGACTGGGAAAACGTTCCCATGGCGGTTTCTCACAACTTTAATCCTCGGTCCAGCTCGGCACTTTCTCACCAGACCGGGTTTTCGGCTCGATCCGGAGGGGCTGAGTATCCGGTCCAATCTGGGCCAACGCGGTTATCAACAAATTTCTTAACAAATATTTGTGTAATACACGAGTATTGTATAGTGCCAATTATATAGTAAATATAGATGAAAATATTTTCCAGCAAATGAGGCTCTTTTCCAAATAATCTCTCATGGATTTGTTGGTACTGCACTTTTTTCTCGGTCGGAACGACTTTATAATAGAAATAGAAAACGACTTATAATAGAATAATTCTTGTTTATCTTGATGAAAAGGGCAGAATAGCTAGCCAATACCAAAAATATTCACGATGTTTAGTAGCTTTTCGATAGCTTCCCTGCCGGGTATGGGTGGTTTTGTTGCCGAATTCAGATGCCGAAGGAGTTGGGATTAGCAGTCAGGTCGGGAAATCTGGGCAAAGCTCTCTTGCTTAGTATATGGAGGTGGACCTGGATCAACCCTAAGAGCGTCATCAGTGAGATTGTGAACCAGGGGAAATCGATCGAAAATTTTAGCAAAGCCAATCGAAGAGGATGTAATTGACCTTCTTCGGATAGGGCTTTCTCAATTGCATCGAACCTGCCCAAAACTATGTGAATTATAACAACATAGATTGGTCATTATACATGTATATATAAGGAAAGATCGTTGTTTTAGTCCTCTAATTTAGAATAATTTATATGTTTGCATAACAATTATTGGGGTTCCAAATTGATCCAGTAACTCCAATTTTAGTCAATTTGGTTCAATTTCAACCCCAACCCCGGAATCTGACATGAGTTATTTGGTCTGAAATTGGTCCAATAAATCTTAAATTTTAGTCAATTTGGTTAAAATAACTCTAAAATTTAAGAGTTATTGACCAATTTTAGACCTTCAATAAGTGGTTGGGCAATAATAAAAAATACCTTCAGTTAGTGGATGAAAACTGCAATTTTTTTTGGTAAAAATACCATTGAAGTTACTATACAAACATGTAAATACATCGAAAAAGAAAGAGGGAGAACGTTAAAAAAGAAATAAAAAAAAATACATCTTTTGTATCATAACTTTATATTAAAAAAATGATAGAACATAAATTTCAAAGGCTTTGCTATTCTTATTCGGACGACCCGGCCTGGTCACATGAGTACCCAGCCGGGCCTTTTTTTTGTTCAAACGAATTCTAGTTTCAAACTCATTAATGGGATTATAAGTAGACTTAATAATCCAAACGATCATGATTAACATAAAAATAATAGTTATCCGTAAATAATTAAAAGATTCATCTATATATCAACGTATCTTGTATTACTATAATCTTTTCCCAATTAACAGAACAATTGTTACATAGTTATTTTCATATGATTATATTATAATTAAATCTCAGTATATTAATAAATGAACTGAGAATGAATGTATATCTATATGGTTAAAATGTAGTGTACCAAATCAGTAAACATATACGTCAAAAACTAATAAAATCATATCACCTTATGATTAAATTAAGCAAAGATTTGCAATCAGAAAGTAAAATTATATTGATTCCATAGATAAATATGGCAAAAATATGTACAAATGATCTTCATTTCAAAATAGATTATATTAAATATTTATCCGTACATATATAATTATATATATATATATGAGTGTCAAACCTAAAACAGCCATATCTATCCAATTAAATAGTTCTCTTCTGAATGGCTTGTTTCATCGTGCTTTTAACACTTATTATTGTTAGTGCATTTGCAGTCCATTCAAATGGACAAGGCCAAAGATTTGATAAATATTACGCTCCTTTGTGGGGGTTCAATCACTTAACACTTAACCCCGCTGGAAATCACGTCAACCTTACAATGGATCAATCTTCAGGTATCCCTTCCTATATAATAATTCAAAACGTATTGAGTCTAGGTGACAGATTCTAACGCTTCGGATGCTGACATGACGAAAATCTATGCTTCGTGATGTTGTTTTTGTATTATTTTTACTCTGAAGTTAAGTTTGGTATTAAACATAAATAACTTTAATCACATATATTCATTAATTCAACATCATTGTTGTACATGGGTATTAATACTATTATAAACATATTTATATATTAATTTGCAAGCACATAATTTTTTATTTTTTTTATTATCTATGAAATTATTGATTTATGTATTTTTTGCATGGAGGGGCTGGATTTAGGTCCAAATTGGAGTACGGGTCAGGGTTGTTCCGTATAAAACTTAAAATACCGGACAAAAGGACAGGAGGAATTCTTACAAGCTTCTATGTAAGATAAATTCATATTCTTATTTTAGATAAGAGTTAAATATAGGTCAATTATTTTGGCAAAATTTCAGTTTTGACCAATTTACTTATTCAAAGTTTTTTTTTTTTTTTTTTGGGTACATTAACTTTCTCGATCCTCATCGATAATCGTACGTTATCCGGAAAATGGTTCATTATTTTTTGAGATTAATGTCCTGGAAAATGATACAAATTGCAACACAACGTACTGTTTTTTATGAGCAAATGTCCGAAAAATGATACAAATCAAAACATAACTTACTATTTTTGATAAGGAGTGAGTTAATTAGTGTACGAAAAATGGACCGAACTTTAGACAAGTAAATCGACAAAAATTGAATGAAATTATTCCGTTTATTTTTATGTGATACATACAAGAACAAACTAGACTACACATGTAATATATTTTTAAACAAGTGTTCTAATTAATTAAATATATTTGTGTTGACCGGCAGTTGACTTCAGCGCCAGATGGACAAGCCCCTGGGGACCACTTTGAACTCGATTTCGAATTTTTGGGCACAAACGGGACAGTGCAAACAAATGTATACGACAACGATGGTGGCCACAGAGAACAAAGTTTTAAGCTTTGGTTTGACCCTTCAAAGGGTTTTCACACTTCATGATCCTTTGGAACTCAAAACATATAGTGTAAGCTTTAATTAATATTTATACAGACTCTTTTATTACAAATAAGATAATAATTCATTTAATTATAAACTATGCAGGTTTCTTGTGGATAATATTCCAATTAGAGTGTTTAAGAATTTGTCGGACAGTGGAATACCTTACCCGACCAGGCCCATGCACATCGAAGCAAGTATATGGGATGCGGATTGGGCCGGTGCGGTGGACTGGTCTGAAGCCCCATTCACGGCCGAATACCAAGATTTTGGTTTTTGGGCTTGTTCGGGCGACACGTCTGCATGCGCATCAGAGCAATACTTCTGGAACAGGCGCGGATATTGGGACCTCAATGATCGGCAGAAAAGCACTATGGAGATGTACAGAAGATCGTACATGAGTTACGATTATTGCGGCAACCCCTCAACTAGCAAGCCGGAATGTTCTATCAACGCATAATGTGGTGATATAGAGAGCTAATTTTAGTTGGTCTACGTGAAGATATAATAGTGTACGTTAGTATTTATTATCATTGCTGATTGTTTGGCCATGATATGGAATAATTAGTATTTTCTTAAAGTGAGAAGTTGGAACCATTTTTTAAGTGTTTTGATCAGAATAATAATTGAGAGGGGATGTCTTTATCTTTTAAAATTATGTTATTTTTTTTTTTTTTTTTTTNNNNTTTTTTTTTTTTTTTTTTTTTTTTTTTTTTTTTTTTTTCTATTTGATGAAAAATAAAAGTATGTTACATGATTCATTTGCTTTATCAAATTCTTTCATTTTTTCCCCTCCACAAAAATCAAATGACTATGTTACTTGGACATAATTAATAATTAATATTAACCTCTGGTCTAAAAGCCGGCCTTGGCGGCCGCCTATGCGCCAGGCGGAGCTCGGCTTGCATAAATCGGTTGTAAAAATCGATCTGACGGGTTTAGGTGGACCTAGACGTTCCTATGCGGGCTTAGGCGGACCTAGGTGCTCCTATGCGGGCTTGACATGCTCGGTTGCCAGGCGGCTTGGCGGTGCCTAGACGCCACCTAGGCGCTCCTAGGAAGGCTCCGCGAAAATATTCCAACTTATTTTTTTTAGTTTTTTAAAATACTAATTACATTATTTTGCTATAATGTTTTCTTTATAATATACTAATATTATTATTTGAACTTAGATGTGCTGATTTATTATAAGTTGAAATAGTTTTATTTTTTAGGTAGTGAAAATAAAGGAAAAATTGCACTATTCGTCCACTAACAATACCCTCGTTGCACTTTTGTCCTTTAATTGTTTCCGGTTTACAATTGGTACACTAACTTTTTTTTTGGTAATTTTAGTCCAAAATTACATTCTGGTGCTCATTTTCGCCAGAATAGCTGATGTGGCGCCCAGTCAGATCGGAATTTCCATTCTCGGCGTGATGTGGCACGAGGTGGCACCTAGATCAGATCGGAAAATTTGCACTATTCGTCCACTAGTTTTACATTCGTTGCACTTTCGTCCTTTAATTTTTTCCAGTTTACAAAATCAGAAAAAAATATTAAAAAATAAAACGAGAAATAAAAAGCTTTAAAAAGAAAAAAAAAATCAAAAGAAAAAGAAAAAATATAATTTTTTAATTTAATAAAAAATGAAATATTTAATGATTAAATAAAATCAAAATATTTAATAAAAACGAAATAAATTTATGATGAGAGATAAATATTTTTTATTTAATGATTAAGTATTTAATACAAAAATGAAATATTTAACAAAAATGAAAAATATTTTTTATTAAATATTTAATTTTTCATTAAATATTTTACCATTAATAAAAAATATTTATTAAATATTTATTACTCAAGAAAATATTTATTTCGTTTTATATTTCTCTTTTTATTAAATATTTTTTTATTTAAATAAAAAAATCATTAAACAAAAAAAAATTATAAATATTTCTTTTTTATTAAATATTTAACTATTAAATAAAAAATATTTATTTCTTATTAAACATTTATTTTGTTTTTCATTTTGTTTTTTATTATTTATTTCGTTTTTAATTAAATAAAAAATGTATTTTTATTTTAAAAAAAAAGATCTTTTTTTTATTTTGTTTAAAATCATTAATCAAAATGATTTTTTATTAATTAATATTCTTCTTTTTTTTGTTAATTTTTTATCCACATGTCTTTTTTTTTTTTCTTTTTAAAGCTTTTTCTTTTTCTTTTGATTTTCTTAATATTTTTTTTTTCTTCTGATTTTGTAAATCAGAAATAATTAAAGGACGAAATTGCAACGAATGTAAAGTTAGTGGACGAATAGTGCAATTTTTCCGATTTGACTAGGCGCCACCTCGTGCCACATCACGCCGAGAATGGAATTCTGATCTGATTGGGCGCCACATCAGCTATTCCGGCGAAAATGAGCACCGGAATGTCATTTTGGACTAAAATTATCAAAAAAAAAAAGTTAGTGTACCAATTGTAAACCGGAAACAATTAAAGGACGAAAGTGCAACGAGGGTATAGTTAGTGGACGAATAGTGCAATTTTTCCGAAAATAAATAACAAATTTGGTAATTAATTTTAATTTCTAGGCCCCGCATAGGCGCTAAACGTTGGTCGAGCGCCTAGCGGCTTCTAGAACACTATTATTACATGCTTAAAACTACATCGAGAAGAAAAACTAACCATTCACTTATTATTTAACACGCTTCTATAACTTGTCTTCCACATATTCTGTTACATAATAGACCAAAACAAAAAACCAAGATGTTAAGAAGTTACCAAAAAAATAAAGATTAAATGAAGAACTAAAAAAAAAAATTTGTTTTGCACACATTTGCTAACTACATGCATTCATCCATTTATTTTCCAATACATTTTTAAATTAAATCAACAATAATACTAAAAATAAAAATTATTTTATCTATAAAATTTAGTGTTGATCCATTTATTTTTTTAACCACATGCATTCATCCATTGTTTTTCACTATAAATAATTGTTATATTCCAAGGAAAATCCTATGGTAATATATTTTTCAATGGAATGGCTTCCGTTGGAATGGCTCCATCGAAAATTTCAGCGAAAAGTCCATTAGAATGTCATTGAAATTTTAGATGAAATTTGATGATTCCAACGGCTATACTTACAACGGCTTTTTATTCAAAATACTATATATGCAATTATTCAATATAATTAACTAAAAAATTCATCGCCGTCGCATATGCGGAAACATAAATAACACAAATAACAATTCATAGACGGAAGCATAATAATTCATCGCCGTTGCATATGCGGAAACATAACAATTCATCGCCATCTCATAGGCGGAAACATAAAAATACATTGTCGTCTTGTTGATACCCAATTTTGGCCTCTATTATTTAAATAGGCCTCTATCATTTAAATGTAAAACGTGGACATATATTAAATCAATTGTTGTATTTTATCTTATTTTTAAGGCAAAAAAAAACACCGTTTATTATAATAGTTGCCGACAAAAAAGACTATAAATATCCCCCTATGATGGGCACAAGAGATAAGTTTGAGGGGGCCTTTTCTATTTTTTTTTCTCTTTCTTATCAACTGAGGCGGCACCGTTTATCTTCTTCATGCTGCTTCTTTCTTTGAGTTTTCTTCAATTTATTTATTATACACAAAAATAACTA